TTTAAAAAGGTTTTCATAATTATCCTATTAAAATTTTGGTAGTGACTTTTACATTTATTAATTTCTTTTTCTTGAGAGATTACGATACAAGCGTGACAAGCAATTCTCAACTTGCACATGCTTAAATATAAACTTGTTTAGATGTATCCATAGGTAACATAGACTAGCATGGAGTTTGATTTAAAGGTTATGCAATTCAACATAAAATCTTCTTTTAATTTTGAATTATAACAAGTGAGTTGGATCCTTTTTTAGATTTAAAAGTTGATAACCTAAAAACATTACATCAATCAAAAGTTTATGAAACAAGTTACTTCTTTAAACAAACTTTTAGGACAAAATTACCCTTTAACATTCAAAATGATAATCAATATTGGTCAAATATCATTATAAGATGACATTACATCATTTTTTTAAACTTATGGGATAACATTGCGTCAATTGAAAGTTAACTAAAGCTACCAGTTGCAATTTTTTTTTTTGGGGTACAAGATGGGGCCAAAAGCCCATAAAACTACACTAATCAGTTTCCGCAAAGCTGCCAGTTTCACTAGACAAAAAAAGTTTTAAGGTAAATTTGTCCTTTAATCATTTCTTTTATTCATTATTCAACATATTTTATGGGCATTATTTAACATTTTATGCACACAAAATAATATTTTCTTATATGGACTAAACTAAGAAAGAATAGACACAATGCATATAAGGCGGCTTCAATTTTCCGCAGGTTGTTTGCCAACTTTCAATTTCTTAATTTTGATGATTTGCTTAGGATGCTATTCTCCACATTTATCACTGAGCTAAATCAATTAATTATTCTCCCTTATCAGTTTCGAACTCCTAATTTTTTTAATCATTAATTATTACACCACGTACGATGCTCGCACTTGGCGATAAACACTATTCTTTTCTTAATTTGCACGACTCACTGGTCCCATAGCTATTGAAAATACTAATTACAATAAATTATGACATTTGAATCCATAAATTATTGGGACATGATCTAATCGTAGCCCTAATCCTGACAGATAAGAATTATTATCAACGTTATTACTCGGCGGTGTTGAGGTTTTGGAAGACAGTGCACGTGATATGATGAAGCATCTTAAGGGTATTTTAATTAATTATGATTTTGGGTGCATGAACGCCTTACGCATCCATTCAATTATTAAGATGTGCAAGCATCAATTAATTGTATATGTTGCTAAAAATATGTTAATTAATTAATTATATATAAAAAAGGACAGTGAATTTCAAGAAATGTCCAACAATATAATGCTTTCATTGTGCCAACTCTCAAGGTCCAGTCAAGCAACTCCGAACACAAAAAGGCTTCTCTTGGTTTTGGGGAAGATATGCTTGTTTAACATGTAATATAAAATACAATTTTCATTAATAAATCATAATAATAGCAAAAAGAAAATTTAATTGGCATTGAGAAAGAATTTATTACCAGATTTGATTGTTGACAAAGCAGGATGAACTTATATCATTCAAGTAATTAACCATACCCAATGAGAGAAGGCTCATGGTTGTCAACAAGAAAGAATTGGAAAATATATTTTTAAAATAAGAAATTGGTTCGTAAAAAGAATCAAAGAATTTATCATTAAATTTATCTCTACCTAAGCCTAACAAAAGTTGAATTTAAATTAGTTGGTAAGATAATAGCTTTGGTGCTATTTATAAGATAAAAATAAAAATATTTTTTTAGTTTTATTTATAAGGTATGTTATTGAGTTTCCATCAAAAGTTTTTCTTTTATTTCCCATGAAATGTTAAATTTTTAGAGAAAGTTAACGAGTTTTTATTTTTTTAAAATATGTTAAAAGTGACTTATAAATAAAATTTAATAAACATATAGTATTTATAAAAGAGAAAAGTGAAAAGAGATGGAAAATAGCACACATGAGAATTGGTTGTTTGTTGTGAAACACTCCTATTCCTATCTCTCAATTTATAAGACATTTTGATAAAAATAAAATTTTATTAATTGTGCTTATTTCAATATTACCCATCCCACTATATTATAATTTTTTTTGGTCTCTATTTAGTGTTTCAAAAATAAGATTATATTAAATGAATTGTATTTTCAAAAATTTAAATTTGTATTTTAAAAATTAATATTTAAAAAGTGTATTTAATAAATTTTATTAGTATGCATAATTTTTTCAAAAAAAATATCTTATAAATTGGGATGAAGAGATAAATGTTTAAGAATGTTTTAATGCAGCCCTAAGTATAATTAAAAGTAATGTGATTTCATGAATGAAATGATTCCGTGAGCACCTTGTAGGGGTTAGCTTCTATGCCTTTCTTGTTTTTCAAGTTTCGTTTATTTCTGTTTCATTACTTACTCTCTATTGTATTATTATTGTTGTTCCTAAATTTTTTCTTTAAACACGTGTCATGCCTTGTTTGCCATCTGTATTGGATTCTTTAACTCTAAGGTTAGGCTTTTTCATATTATTATTTGAGCTTAAAATATTTATTTATTGTAAATTTTAAAACAAAATTTGATACCGATGAATTTCATCCCCAAATTAAATAATTTGTAATAAAAAATAACTCACGTATTTTTATTGTAAAATAAAAAAAATTAATGAACTTTTACTAAGAAAAAAGAAACAGTGCCATTTTCTCGGACTCGGTCTCCAAAAAAAGAAATGGAAATTTATGAAATGTGATATAATAAAAATACTAATTTAATCAATATTTATATTTATTGATTTTAATTGAGTAATTGAGAGAAGAAGGGGAAGTTTTTTTTTTTGTTTTTTTTCCTGCACAGAACTCGCCTTTTGTACTGATTTATTTGTTTTAAAAAGAGTATTGAGCTAAATTAACTTTCACTCATCTTATATTTGGATAGAATTTTTATTTTAAGTTCATTTGTAAAATTTCGAAAATCAATCTGATAAACACTTCATCCGTATCAATTTATAAGATATTTTTAAATGTGATTTCATGTTTTAAACTATTAGATATTTTAATAAAAATAAAATTCTATTAATTATAATTGTTTCAATATTATCGTTTCCTTTGTGTGTGTGTTTTATTTAACATTTTAAAAATTAAATAACATTAGATGAAGATTATTTTCAAAAATTTATATTTATATTTATATTTTAAAAAAATAAAATTATAAATATATTTAATAAATTTTATTAATATATACAATTTTATTAAAAAATATCTTATAAACTGGTTCAAGAAAAAATAGTGTTCACATTTATCTTCTTGTCGTCCTCATTTTCCACGCGCTGTTACTTTCCCATTCCCATTGGAGGGGATAGGTCTTGGCCGTCACAATCTCACAGCACTCTGCACTTGCTTTTACATAAATACCCCTCCACCCACTCTTTTTCACAAATAAATTAAGCAGCCTTCTTCACTTCCCACCTACTGCTTCACTACCTGCATTTCATATTTAATATTGAAATTGATATTTTTATTAAAATTATATTTTTTTTTCCTTTTTAATTCAAGGCCATGAAAGGAAACCACACAAGAAGAAAACGAAATTAAGACATCAGGAGGCACTGGCAAAAGATTCCTGTAAAGGTGGTTTTCTCATAATTGTAACAATATCTATGCCTCCATGATATATTATATTTGATGATCAAATTAATTCATGTAGTTGTTTGATCGTTAAAAATTATGATAAAAAATACAATTCAATCTTGTACGATGAGATCTTTGATTTTATGAATAGAAATAATAATAAAAAAGGTTCAAAACGTTTAATATAAATCAATCTATAAGCATTAGTTGAGTCGCAATAAACACTAATTTTAGATGACTTTTATTTTGACAAAATTTATCAAGACGGAGTTCAAGATATTTGGTAAAGTCTTTCACCGAATTATCATTTTTCATTTCAGATGAAACAACCACGAGCCCCTCCTCCTCTTTAATATCAACAGAACCATCAACATTTAATGTAGTAAATTAAAATGAGATTAATTTCATTTACCAACGACAATGATTAGATCAAGTGAAATTGTAAGAGAGATTCAAGGAATTGAATCCTAAGTCAGAAAAAATTTACTCTAAAAGAGCCGCATCCAATAAAACCCAATAATATCTGAATTCACCATAATAGAGTCCTTATCAATTTAAAATGAGCATTGTGAGTGGATTAGAAGAAAAGCTTGTCCAACATGAAATGGCAATTTTCTTTGGGTGAAACTTCCCTCAAGCTTCGGTGGGTCCAAATGCCAATGTCTCTGATTGCTTCTTCTTCAATCGCCACTTTCCATCTCCCTCCTCGTTACCGTTCATCTTCCACCCTTCTCCATCATGCTCCAATCCGACGGTCCGTCCCACCCTTCACCATCCATCACCAACATAAACTAAATCCATTTCTTATATTATTTTTCTGAACTATATATATATATATATATATAAGGTACTTTTAACTGTTGCTTTGAAATCAAGACAAGATAGTCAAATTATTGATCTTATTTAAAAAATAAAAAATAAAAAATAAAAAATTTATTCTTATTAAATACATTAATTTTAAAATATTTTTTCTTATATGTAATATTTTACTCTATTCATAGACAACTGTAAAAAGATAAAATTTTAAAAAAATTAATAATCAATCTTTCTATGCAAAATAATTTATAAGAAGAATTATTATTTTTTTAAAAAAAAGTAACTCAGCGAATGAGTATTTATTTATACTAGTAATAATTTTTTTTATAGCACAAGTAATTTGTTCCCGCAACAATAAAAATTGTCTTTTCCGAAATAATAAAAGATGGATCTCTTCCAGGTAGTTTCCACGGTTCGTACTAGTAATTCTATGATTCTGTTTCTATCTATATGAATTTTCTAGGCAACTCTCTCTCCCCTTTTATCTAACAACATGGACTTTGCAAAATTTCCCTAATAAAATATTCCTCCACGCTTGTTGCTTTATCTTTTCTCTTATTTTTGACCATTTCTCCCTCCTGCTCCTGCCTCTCCTCTATATATAACCCTCTCTTTCTTCGCCATCTTCATCATCACCCTCCTTCATCTCTTCTCCACTTCACTTTGCTCCAATTTCTGCATCTTCATCAGAAATGGAGTCTGCAGCACCAAAGAGGCCTCGGCCCCAGCAAGAAGACGAAGAAGTAAACAGTGAGGAATCGTCAAAGAGGCACAAGCCTTACAGCCACATCCTCTCTCTTCTGGAATCTGATGAAGAGGAATCCCCAAAAGATCTCTCTCCTCTCATCACTAATCTCCAGCAAGAGATTGCTTCTTCTCAAACCCCTTTGGCTCCGCCACCTGCAGAAAATTCCCAGGTCATCAACCCAGAAACGTCTCATCAGCAAGAGCTCCCCAATGCTTGTTCTGAAACCCCTTTCACACCACCTGTGATGAGACATCTTCTAGAAGCTTCTGATGATGAGCTTGGAATCCCAAACACAGGCTGGTTGGACTTTGGGGAAGATAACTGGTTTAGTGGCAGTATTATGAATACTGATGCAGAAGATATTAATGGCTTTGCTTCTCTGTGCGATGGCTTGTGGGAGCTTGAAGATGAAACTGCTAACTATTATACTTTGCTGCAGTCTCAACTTTTTCTATAGTTTCGAATAATTTTGCTGAGACTGACTCTCTCTCAGAAACAATAGACACAAAGATATATGGGAGGCATTTTTTATATTAGTTTCTCAACTTTTAATTACCTGCCTTTGTAAAAAGATTAAGGGATGGGACGGGACGGGACGGTATGCTGATTGCCTAATTGTTGACTGAAGCAGGATGTTAATCAGCCATTTTCTTCCCTTCAATATATTTACTTTATGTATCTTTAAATTCTTAAAATTTAAGAATAGAAGAAACATTTGACCATGATTTCATTTAAAGGACTTAATATGTTTTTGCTTGTTAATTTTATGATAGAGTTTTGCTTTCAATACATTTCAGTTTCATACCTTGAGATGAGAGACTAATTATAAAGGATTTTAAATGATTCTACCTCATAAGTAACTGGGACGATTGAGTTGAAGGAATTTAATACTTTTAAGCAAGGTTTAAGTTTAAACTTTAATTAAATCATAACAAAGTATAATATATTGATATGTGTTTTCTTCCTAATTTTACTTTAGATTTTAAATTCTAAAGATTTCACTTTTCGGGCTCGTTTCAAACATGAGATACAGATAGTCGTTCCTAATGTCAGAGGATTTCAATTGATTCCATCTTTAAAAATTAAAATAACTAGAGGAATTTAACATTTTAAACTAAAGTCTTAAACTGGTATATTGTGAAGGATAAAATTTACGTTCTTAATTTTATACATTTAATATACTTATATACTCAATATACTTATATCCAATCAAATTATGACAAGTAAATTTTAATATGTTAATAAAATTAATAACAAATGTTTATTATAGAATAAATAATCTATAAAAAATTTATGTATCTTGATTTAATTAAAAATAAGCACATTATGTATATAACTTTTTCCTTATTGTGAATAGAAAAAATTATGCTAGGAAAACCACTTATATTCCAAAATATTCAGTAACAATTTATTTATTCATTCATGTGCAAGAAAGTTGTGGGAGGTCTTAGCAAGAGAAGTGAATCATATAATCTTGAGCCATCTAAATAATGATAAAAAAGAAAACCAAAGAAAATATTCATAAAAATTGTAAAACAAAAACCTCTTGATTTATAATATTTTCAAAGGCTTAGTTATTGATAGAACATAATAACGTCATACAATCCATGTAATTTACTTTACCTAGTATGATAAGCCTTCTTATTATTGTATATTAATATTATTATAAAATTACACATATTTTTATTTAAAAATATATTTTTTTATAAATGATCTTATGAGTCAATATAGTTTAAATGTGTTATAAAAATTAAATTTAAATAAAAATAAAATATTAATAAAAATTATATTTTCAATAAAGTTAGAAAACTTTTATTCAATTTACTTATTTTTTTTTTAAGCGCTTTGTATTGAAAGTCTGATGTTACTGACGATACAAAGAAAAAGAGATAATATCTGTGACCAAAAAAAAAAAAAAATACAAGCTATAACACAACAGATATTAATATAAAATATCAAATTTATATTAAACGGTACTGTCTAAAAGTCATGACTAGCGTAACTCATTGCTGGCATTCTCTGAAGTGTGGGAAAATGTTACACAAGAAACACGCGCACACATATTGTAATTTCCCCTCATTTTTCTTTTATTGACGTTTCCAAACATGTTCTATTCCTCAATGAGACTTCTCATTTTTTGGATTGCAAGCCGTCGAGATTACCCAAAAAAAAAAGCATTTATGTTTTTAAAAGTTATCCTTCTTTGGCCAACTTTACAAATTTGATAAAATAGCTATAATCTCCACGGTTGATTGTAATAAAGGAAAAGAATTTATTAAAAACCAATGCGTTAATAATTCTTATAATCTTCATCCAACTATATATGCCAAGAAAAGTATTTGGTTAATTGCTTGACTCTGACCTATGCGTGAGTTGAATTGTGACTTTTGAGGTGGAGAGGAACAAGGCCATGGAAAAATAAAGCGCCGTGCCGTATCCGTCATGTTCCACGGTCAAGTCTTTTCCATTTTTTCTTCATTCAACAACCCCAAAATTCTTCAAAGAAGTTTCTTTTCTCTTGAATTAACTTGTTTACTTGAATTAAGGAGCTTTCCCAGTTCGTTGACTGACTGAACTGACACGAAAATCCCAAAATAAGTCCTTTGACTCCACTTACAGAACTCACCAGTCTCCAACATCAATGTTTGAGTCCAAGTTGTTAACCTTGACATCAACATCCACTATTAATGTACTTGCCAACAGACCACTCAAACAGCCTATTAAATGGGAAATAGGTGAGAAAAGAAGGGACTCTTACCGTTAGTGGCTTGAGAAGGCTCCATTCATTCAAAATTTGCCCCAAGTTTTGATGATTGTAGCACGATAAAGGCAAGTGGAGGCTTTGAAGGATCCAAGAATTACTCAAATTGAAATAAGTTGTTGACAAGAAGGCGATCCACCCCTTAAAATCTAAATCAAGCCCAAGTTCCAAAGAAATATTCCACACAATAAAACAGACGCAACGTTAGTGCGAGACTAGGAACCAATTTCCCATCTATTAGGATTTATCCATTTGGGAATTTGCCTTCACCTTTACAGAAGACGTACAATTCTAGACATCTCTCTTGTTATAAAAAAATGTTTTGTTAATTTTTTTTTAACCTTGAAAAAAATGTTTTGTTAATAACAAAACCATAATTTTGTAATATGGCAAAAATTATACAGTCATGCATTTATTCATAACAAATTATAAGAGTTACACTAAAATATTTTTCATTTACAAATATACACACACATGCTAGCCGCACAAAAAATGAGCCTGCGACTACAACGATAACATCCGGCTTTGCAAGCCACCTTTCATAACCCCGACAGCAAAGACTAATAATAATACCGGATAAAAACAGAGCATTACTCTAAAATGTGCATCCAAGAATCCAAGTAGAATAGAACAATATGGTTGTCATACATTAATTGATAAAAAAGTTATACACTTGAGATTGTTTGAAAAAATGGCAATCAAACAGAAATCTTCCAAACAAACTAACAAGTCGAGGTGAAACAGGGATTGAAAAAGGTCAATATGTCAAAATTGTGAACCATTCCCTAGAACAAAACCCTCCACCCTAAAAAATAAAAATAAAAACCTGCATTTCATTTATTCTATTTATAGGATGGAGAGAGAAAAAAAATTTAATCTTATTCATAAAACACTTATTAATTTTCAATGTTCTTCTTTAAATTTTTGCCTTTATTAAATGCTTATCAGTAATAAGATTTAAAAATATTTATTAAAAATAAAGGTAAAAACTTATTAAATTCTAAGATAAAATTAATAAGGTTTAAGATTTCCTTGATTCTAGTGCTGGAATTAACTTATAAATAAGATCATAAATAGTATTTCTCAGTGTAGTATGCTGTATTCATCTTCAATGGCAGCATATCACAACTTTAATCCAAGGCTTACTCTTCATCTTCCCCTTCTCCATCACCACCGGCAGCTTTCTTAGCAGCTGCTCGCTGGTCCTTTCGCTTCACTCTTCCAGGACGTCCACCACCAAATGGACTTGCTAGTGAGAAGTCAATGTGTTTTTGCTAGTCTACCTTCACAATAAACGAGGAAATATTCACCACTTGCCTCCCTGTTAGTGGGAAAACAGTATACATAAGAAAATTAACCAAATATGTAAAACTGCAGACCTGTGATGTGTCTATGCATCCTACATATTTTTTTTTTTCAAAAAAAAAAAAAACGGTAGCTAGCACAGAAAAAAATTGCCTCATCCGAGATATCTGATAAACTAGGTGGGAATATAGAAGAGTGGACAACAGCATTGTACTGCCATTGTAAACAAGTCCAGCGAAACAAGTCAAACAACAAATATGAACTCCGTATACGGGAGGCAAGGTGAAATTTTCTACAATTGTTTCATGGTGACAACATGCCAAAAAAACTGCTGAGCTCAGCAGCACAGATGAAGAATCGAATACAGTACTAGTATTGAAAGAGAATGGGCAGAATATGATAATCACCAAGGAAGACAGAATTTTTTCGTATGTCATAGATGAAATATAATTTTTATCGAATACTTGAATATAAATAGATGGCCCTTAAATCAATTAGTATTTCGCAGAAATTATGTTTTTAAGATGCATGACATAATCCTGCCTTGGAAAGCTATTTTCTCGGGGATGGAGAGGTTCTAGAAATAATTTGCCACATACTATATTTTTCCATAGATAATCTCTCATCCGACGTTCACTGCCTTGTGAACAAATAATACTCACAAATCCAAATAATGATCACAAGATGAACTTTAGCAGCCAAAACTAACATCTAATGCAGATGTTAACTACAAAGACCATCAAAACTAATGTCACATTACATTATTTAAAAAGGAAAAAAAAACTCCTAACCACATTCTAAAGTAGGAACCCGTTTCGATCATCATTTGCAGTTTTAATTCTATGCCAATCACTTTTTCGGCCTCTAAAGAGTTGAGAAATGAAAGAAATTTCACGATAATTCAAACCTAAAATAATTGTGACATCAGCAGACAGCCACAAAACTCCAGAAAAAAAATTTCGTGCCTGATGTGCTTCTGCCTGATCAAAACTCTAGCGTGGTGGATTGCCTTGGCCATACCGGACTTGCAGACCAGAGTCTGAAGACGACGCTCAAGAAAATTCTAGACGGTAAGAGCCATGACGTCATCTAGCTTGTTCTGGCTCTCATCGAGTAGACCGTACCTGTTCATCCTCCTAAGAAGAGCTTCACCTTCGAAGATACGACGAGGATTCTTATCATCGAGTGTGAGAAGCATTCTAGCTGCATTACGTATCCGGCTGAGCGCATGCCGAACCCTCTACAACTCCCTCTTGCGGCGAAGGCCGTACTCGCCGATGAGTTTGAGCTCATGATCTACCCGCTTCTTCTCATAGGGACGCCGAGGCTTCTTGAAGATTTTCCCATCTGCATTGCACCGAATATCATTCACAAGATTCAAACTACGAAAATAACAAATCGGAGGAGAAGCGGCACTTACAGTTTCTATAGAATGAGACGTGCACCATTGCGACATACTCGTCACTCTCGAAGCCCGCCAAGAACAGATACAGCAGCCGAGTTTTCGAGGATTTTCTCCTTCAAAATGTAAACCCTAATTTCCTATTGGCTCTTTTTTTTAAGGTATATTTTCTTTTAATAGGGGTATCATGAAAAAACGATTAGTATGAGAGCAAGAGAGAATTAAACCATATATTTAAGATTAAAGGGAACATTTCCCCCCCACCCCCCGCCCTAATGTTTTAGCCAACAAATATTTTGTTAAGCGGGAAGCCAATAATTGAAATAGTTGAATCACAGTTATTTTTTATCAATATAAGTAGTAAGTTCCGCCAATAACAAAGCACGTCTCCACTGAAATATTAAGAGCGATGGATAAATCTTTTACAACTAAATTGTTATATGTATAAGAGTTAATGTTCAAATCTTTAACTATATACTTAAGTAAAAGAGCGATGGTTAAGAGCGATGGTTAAAGTTGTTATATCACTCATAACAACTTTAATTATTTTAATTATACAATTATGTATCGTGTGTTTTTTCTTTTTTGGACAAAGTATTTTTACAGCTAGCAACTATAAGCTTAATTCTTTGAGAAATCTGAACGTCATTTAAGGAGTTGTTTTTTTTTTAAATATGTTTTTTCATACACACCTCCAAAAATTAAACCTTAAAATAATGCTTAAAGGGTCCAAACTAGTACTGTATGTGTCACATTCACTTAGTTCATGCTTGTTTTATAAAACAAAAATTTGACTTTTTACAAGCCTCCACTTCATTTGGGCTCAAGTCCACAAGTCGATATAGATCTAAGCATGAAGCCTTTTTTTTTTTTTTTTGACCTTGATCTAATCCTGAAGTTGAAGTGTGAAATTTACTGCATGGAGCTCGGATAATCGGAGACGTCAGGTGCTGAGTGTAAAAGGAACTTTGATGAAGTCGAAGTTACATATCATTCCATGTGAAGCATGTGAATGCATGGACCAAAAGCACAGTAAATAGGTGACTAAGTTCCTACAAAAGGTAAACAAAATGGAATCTAAGGAATGAGGCAGGGAAGGACTTCACCAGACATGTTCCTTGGAATATTTTTTGTTTTTTGGTTATGTCTGTTGGGAAATTTGATGTTCCAAGTGCAAGCAAATTCTCTCTGACGAAGAATTGGAGAGAACGAGCTCGGGGCTTGCTACACTTCAGAGATTTCCAAGGACCTCAATATCTTGAAGCAATCATCGAAGTTAGGGAGACCAACGAAACAGTATCTTGATTGTTGGGTAAGGCCTCCTTGGGGCAATGTGAGACTTGACGTGGATGAATCTGTCAAAGATGGTGCTGGTAAGCGCGGAGGTGTTACTAGGGACTGTAGTGCTCCTTGGATTTATGGGTTTAATGCCAATATTGACAACTATCCATCTGTCCTTGCTGAAGTGTTGGTATTATCTATGATTTGCAATTTTGTTGGGACTATAAGCTTCATGATGTCTAAGTTTTCACATATTGTGTTTAGGCTCTTAACCTGATAACCCGGCGTGATATTCCCCAGCATCCTTTCAGAGATATCATTAACCAGGCTAGATTTTTTTCCGTTTAGGGATTGGAATATCAGCTTGAATTTTATGCATAGAGAGGCCAATTCTTATATCCATATGTTAGCTACACATGCTTGTGATGGCCCTCCTCATTTTGTGACCTTCGATCAGCCCCCACCTTTTTGTATAAAGGTAGTGGATAATGAAAGAAAATTATCTGAAACCTCTAGTTAGGCTGTAATCATTTTGATTTATGTACTATTTTCATTCCAAAAAAAAAAAAGTAAACAAAATCCAAGTTCTTCAAGTGATGACTTTTTTAAGCATGAGGCATTTTTCACGCAAAAAGAAAAAAAACTAGTTGTAGTGCAGGACAGATCTGTTTGTCATACTATGTCTAATAATCCTGATAACGAAGTCTAAAAGCTCCAAACTCGTCTGCTATACAATGTGCCAGAGGGAATGGAACAGGTGCTCCTCGGGCATTGGCACTGTTCAACAGACAAACAAGTACACACGGCTAAGACGCGGCCATACTCGACAATGGGTGCAAAAAAAAATGTTTCTTCCTCCTCATCTTTGCTCTTTAATATTTTCCCCATCTCAGTTTACAATTTTCGGGAATATTAACAGTTCTTCCTATGCCTTCATCTAACTTTCATATTATACAGTCAAAATACCGGACGAAAGATCCTTCATTTTCAGGGGAGGAGGAGAATGAGAAGGGCAAGATTAGAGAATTTACAATTTCCAGAGGGTCAGAAATGCTGCTTGTGTGAAGCTTTTTTGTTGTTCCAAGGAAACAAGTGCTGTTGCTTGCTTGCTGCATTCTATGTAGCGACTACACTGTGCCGCTCCAATACTTTGGTCCCATTTTCAGCCCACCACTTTTCAGCTTCCTGTTCTGTGAAATGTTTCCGACTGCAAAATCAACTTTGCATTCAGTGTACATCAAATACAATTCCCACCATAACATAAATTGACTAAAAACATGCGTTATCTTCAAGTTAAAAAATACACATTTAAATACACATATTTTTATACCTAAAATAAAATAATTTCAGCTTGCTTCCTCTTTGATAAATTTTTTATAAACAAAATACATCAACCATAGAGCTTATAGATTTAAAACATGAAATGCAAGTGCAGTTCTTAATTGTCAGCAATCAGGTTCTTCGATTTAAGAATGGCAAGTGAAAGAATTTTCTTCAACGAAATCGTAGTTAAAAGATGAGCGATGCAGAACATACATGAACTCAAATCCCAATTTTGACGTTCAATAATGAAAAGAATTACAGCTACTACTGACTATTTTTACATTTAAAGGACACCATTGCCCAAAATTACAAACGCCAATAAAATCTTGACTTACCCTGATTGCTATAAATCATGGACTCTAATTCCCAAATAATCAAAATATCGCTACAGTATAAAATTAACTAACCATGATCTCTTCTAATACTGCATAAATGAGTTAGAAAAAATGTTGACGTGTTATGCTTTTATTTGAAAACACGGTAGAAGGCACTAAACTTGTCCATCAGGAAAGCCTGAAAACATAAAATGGTCTTGTAATCAGGCAATACCACTGTTCATATGAAGTGACGATTCTGACTTCACATTACAATCCATGCAGTAAAAATTAGATAAAACCTACCATTATTAGAAGAAAGATGTGATTATGGTTAAGTTAAATTGGACATTTTTCAACAAGTAGAGGTTTCCAAAATGTAGATACCTGAAACGCACACGTTTAAGTTCATTACCACCACCTGGCAAGGAGGACAAACTTATGTATACACCCGGTTCATCTTGAACCACCCACTCTGATTTTCCACTTTGTGCTTTGGAAATATCAGGCATTATCCGATTTTCTGCATTGCTGATCGACTCAGATTCAGGAATGGTACTGTTCGTTATATGGCACTCATTTAAAGACTGATTTAGAATATTAGTGGTAATTTCAGCAGAGAAGTCGGCATTTGAGTTCCCAAGACCTCCATCTGGCACTCTTTGTACCATTTCCTTCAACTGTAAGACAATTTAGCATCCACAACATTAGAGATAACTAACCAAAGCTAATGGCTTGACAAATCAATAGCTCTCCAACAATCATTTGCACCACTAGACGTAAGGTATAAAATGACGGATTCATGATCACAATTATAATATACTACACTGTCATCATTTTTTTAATATTCCAACAGGTCTAAAGTGTTTGGAGCATAATACATGTTTGTCACAAATAGAACTTAAGCTGCTTTCGTTACATTATATGAAGCTAAGCATGGAATATTTAGTCATCCTCATCCCTTGGGTAGAAATTGAATGAGTTCACAGCACACTTAAAAAAGAAAAAAAAAAATTCATATAGTCCCCATGCTAATAAAATCACATGGACTAATACCTCAGTCCACGAATAACTAAAATTAAAAAAATAAAAAGGCTCCACTTATAATGCAGATATTTCACGTATGTCAGCCAAAATTATCGCCTGTAATGCATGAGTAATCTGTCACTTGATAAATATCATAGAAATCCACCGGTCAAAGTTATTGTGAAAGATCTCATCAAGAACTGAAGCTTTTTTAAAAGGAAACTAAATTAAATTTTGGAGGTGATTGATGCTTGTAGTCCAACCTCCCGCCCCATATGTATATATTAGGTTGCTCTTTTCCTTGTCCCCCTAATCCAGGTTATATCATCTAATGTCCGATATCTCATCTATAAATTTATCCGCTACATAGCAGTCATTGCTGCCCCCCAAAAGTAAAGTTTCCTTAGATTCATAAAAAAAATTGAACCAAAATCAATTTAGCCAACTGTAAAACTGAAAATGAAGAATGAGAGCAAAGTCCAGGACAAAAGAACACCCAACCTGAGCAGTCAATGACTTTATAACCTCTTTAGCAGATTTACACTTCTCAGCTTCTTCTGCTGCTACTGCAGTCACTTCCTTTAACTGCTTTGATGTCCTCTCAAGTTCAGCCTCAAGATGCTTCGATTTAAGAGTAAGATTTTCAACCTAAGCAGTATATTAATCAGACCCGAGATGAAGTAAGCTTGAAGCATTTAAATCATATTCAGGATTAAGTAATCAAAATAATTTCAGAAAATTTTAAGCAGTTATATTTTTTTTGCTCAATTTATTTTCAGGTGAGCTATAAAAATATACATGAAAAAACTTCAATCCTATGGCGTATGGGTGCAACCTATCAGATGGAGATAAAAGCATTTCAAACTTTGAAGGGACAGGAGTTTCAGGCTACACAAAAAAGTTCCATCAGCAAGTTCCATATGTGTAAGCAATCTATGATAATGTATTTAATATACATGATGCCTTAGAAGTGATTTCCGATCAAATTACCAAGCAAAACTGGTGTCCAACAACAGAACCTCATAGGAAGGTTGATACATGGGATTTAGGAATAATAGGGGTAATTAGGGAAATTAAGGATATAAGGGTAGTTTGTGTATTTAGTTATATTCTCTATAAATAGGTCTCTAGGTTGTAATGGGTCATTGTGAATGGAATTGCCATTTCTCTCTCCCTCTTTCCCTTCCACCTCTTCTCTCTCTCCCTCTTTCTCTTCTACCCCTATGGAAGGTGGTTTGCAAACATATAAAGGATTGGAGAAAACTTTAGAATGACATGCAAACCTTTTGTTATTAAACTCTTGCATTGGAATGTACATGTTTACAGGTGTTTCAAAGCCAAGTAATGGCTTATCAGTCAGCTAATAACAGAAACAGTTAGTAATAATTCAGGCAGTATTCTTAACTACCTGATCTATTTAAGTCACATATGAGTTCTACTAGTACTAGCTATAGTAGGAGGAGGAAAACTTGCAACTTTTTCATTGTCTTCTTTAGGCTAAGTCTTTTTCATTATGACTATGAATAATGATTCTCTCTCTCTATTCTCCTCTCTAGTTTCTTTCTTTGAATCAATTCGCATGAATCCAGCCTCAAGGCAAATGATCTGGGCCTCATGATGGCACAAAAAAACTCCAGCTCAACATAAAATGACCTATTCAATCAATGCCTAAGATGAATGAATCTTGAAGTGGGAGAACTAAGACAATTCATAGCTCACATTGAACGTCTTGGGCTCAAATAGCATAAAATGAGGAGTAAGAAGCAACCTAATTTTGCTAAAACTAACGTTAAAGTCAAAGTTGGAGTAGCAGATTATAGAGATGAGAATGTTAAGATGGATATATGGGTATACAAAAAAAAGATAAAATCTATAATGAGCACATACAAAAAAAGAAAAAAAAAAGTAGGTGTGATATCTATCGAAAAGAAGATGATAGAAAATCATTTAACACGATTTGAACATATACAAAAAAGACTATGAGAGGCCTAGTGAAGAGAGTGGAACAAATAGTCTTAAGCCTTGTAGAGAGAGATAGAAAAAGATCAAAGAAAACACCCATGAAAGTTGTTAAACGAGACCTTTTAGTTAACAATATTTCGAAAGGCTTAGTTGTTGATAGAAAACAATGGTATCATGTAATCCATGTAACTGACCCCACCTAGCAAGATAAGGCTTGTTTTTATTGTTGTAGTGTTGAAGCAAAATTTCAAGCCCTAGCACCAGACCCATGCAAAGGAATGTGGATATTGATTCTCATTAAAGGCCTAAATTTAAATACCAGTGTGCCAATGAGGGTATTTTGTAACAGTAAGGCAACCAATGGGATTGCAAAAATATATATATATATATATATCAATCATGATAAGATAAAGCATGTGAAGATAGATAGTTGTCTCATCAAAGAAAACACTGAGCCAGGTCTCATAGACTTAAATTATGTTTTTAACAATTCACAAATTACCAAGTTTAAGGATAAAGTTTAAGGAATTAATTACCAAGTTACGAATGTCCAATATTTACTCCCCCAACTTGAGGAGGAATCTTTGGCAGTATTTCAGTGAAACTACTGCAAGTGTGGTGTCCGACACCCCCTGTTTGTTTTTCACATGTTTTCTTATTGCTTGTTTCCTATTTTATTTTACCATGTTATTTCTTTTTTCTATATACAGTCAGTTATCTAAGGTAGGACCAATCTGTTGTGCTTTCCTGATTTAATTATATTCGATTACCCAATGTTCCTATTGCATATTTGTATCATCCTATGAATAAGTCCTCCATTGTATACTTTCTAATTTTGGACAGTGCCTACATATGCCATGATATAACCCATTCAAACATTTTTCACGTGGGAAAGAATGTGCATAAGCACAATTACCAAATTCATTATTATTAAGTTGTGTGAGAAAACAGATTAAGTGGCATCACTTTTCTTTTTTAACAAAGAAAAACAAAGTTTCTCTCTATCTTCTTCATCGGTCTTGTTATGCTTTGGAAGGACTTAAGAAATAAGTAAAGCAGAAACCCACAACATATAGAATCTGAGGTTTTACCAACCTTTTGTTCTCATTAGACAAAGATCGCTTAAAAAATGAAAGAAAAATATGTCATGTTTAGAGCTATATCTTTTTAGGATCATTTACAGAAAAAACAAACAGCTGGATCAGATACTTTTTATCAGCCTTACCTGTGCCCTTAAACTTATAACCTCCTGACTTAAAACACTGTGACTTAAAACGCTGTTTCTGTTCTTTGAATCATCATGAACTTCTTCAGAAGACCATCGTGGACTCAACTTTTCTGAAACTGGAGATGACACTTCAGAGTTCAAACCACTTGCAGGCACAGAAACTGACAGGGGCTTCTCTGATGCTCCAGGAACAGAATTTGATGCATTTAGAGGACTGAATCCCCCCAACTGTAGTTTTCCATTCAGAGCTGGAAAAACATGGGTATGATGTGATCCTGGGATCTTTGAGGGCCTGCTTCCTGCTTGAACATTAGAGCCAAAAGATGAAAGCCTTAATAGCTTTCCCTGCAATTTACTAGCCCAAGAGTCAGGCAAATTTTTCAATGTAAAAGTTTTTGTCAAGGAAACAGATTCTGTGGTCTTCTTAAGTTTAGAATAACAGTCACCGCAAACACGATATTGCTTGTTTGAAGTTGGAGCAAGAGAAGCTTTAGTAGATTTTCCACTGCTGCATGCTGAGCAAAAAACAAGTCCACAGTTGTAGCAATTATGGCGTTTTCTTCTGAATCCAAAAGGATTGTGACAACCAGAACACACAGAATGGTCAGCACTTGATACCCATTTATGAGGACATATAACAGCAGTAAAGTTTGAGCCACAAACAATACTCCTCGCCTGCTTATTTTTAAAAAACTTAACGAGTGTAGGTGTATCTCGGTGACCACTGTCTCCATGGCCTAGCTGCCCATTCGAACCCTTTCCCCAGGTGTAAACCTCTGCTTTGGAAGTCAGGACTCCAATATGATATGAACCACAGGCAATATCTTCTATGAAACTACCACCAATCTTACCTTCAACCTGTGTAGGGAACTTTCCATCAGCTGCAGGATTGCCAAGTTGCCCATAAGCAGTATGGCCCATTGTATATACACGTCCTGAGGCTGTTAAAGCAACAGTGAGGCTGTGACCACAAGCCACTTGACAAATATTTTGATTATCCAATGCAATAACACATTGGGGAACTAGTCTAGGCTCGCTATCACCATGTCCAAGTTGGCCTTTATCTCCATCACCCCAGGTGAACAGTTTTCCTCTAGAGTGTCTAGAAGATTCCATAGATTCAGTTGCCACCTCAACAGCAGCAGCAGTGTGCCAAACACCACAGGAGACCCTGGTTGTTCTCAACCCTTTCAAAGTTTCTACTTCCCTAGGAGTATTTGTGCTACTAAGATCTCCTAGACCTAAGGCACCAAAAGATCCATCCCCAAATGTGAACAACTGGCCAGAAGATGTCACAATCGCTGTGTGCCAAGGTCCACAAGATACATAGGATACATGTATGCCTTCCATGTTACCACTTACTTTCTTAGGAATCCAGTGACTGACTTCATTTCCATGCCCAAGTAATCCAGAATTGTGAATGCCATCACCCCAGGTATAAAGATCCCCAGAAAATGTGACAGCACAAGAGTGATACTCTCCACATGCTACTAATTCAATATTTGCGCCACTAAGAGTGTCGATGACTTTAGGGTGAGAAACATCCACTTCTACACCATGCCCTAGCCTGCCTCCTGATTCCTCCCCCCAGCTATATACCTCTCCTTGCTTGGTAACTAGAGCAGCATGTTTGTAGCCACAAGCAATGCTCTGAACATCCAGAACTACTTTTGATTCCAATGCCTTAGGAAGAAATGCATCCATCTCAGAACCAGATGAAGTTCCAAGTCTATGCAAACCACCACCAAGGACTCCATCACCAATACCTTCTCCAAAAATAAAAACATCACCTATAGCATCAAAATCTTCTTGGTAAGAGCTGTGGCTGGATGAACTTACAGCACTTGATAAACTAACTCGAACTGGCTCAGCAGCAGAATTTCGGTTGTTTGAGTTATCCCCAGACCCAGGAGACACAGAGGAATTTGCATTGGATTCAGCTTGACAAGGACTTGCACCAGCTGCAGTATATGAAATAATTTCAGAGAAAGCCTTCCCCAATCTATTTTCTGAAGTACTGTCAAAAGAACATTCTTCAGCATCTACCAGGTCCTGCAGTTGAAAGAGAACAAGTGAAAATTATAGCCATTCATATACCTTAATAGGTTATCTGAAATTATGAAACAAAGGAAGATGAGAGCAATTGTTACAGACAAATGGTGCAATTGATGGAGAATTTCTTCGGGCGTGATGCTGTGGACTATCAGAACAAGCACTTTCACTTCTTGATTCACACCTCCATTTGTGATCATGACCACGAGTAATTAATGCCTTCAGACCAACAAACCAGGTTTCAGCTTCATCCTTGTCCTTACAAATCTGTCCATGGATTGGAAAGTCACAGTCAAATCAAACTATGAGGTTAACAAGGTAGTCCCATGTGTACACAGTCTCAAGAAGAAGCCTAAATGATACTTTCATTTGAAGGCTCATATATCGTAGTAAAATAACAATAAAGAAGAAAGAACACACACCAAATCCAAGGACCTTTCATTGTATATAAGTGAAAATGATTGATACTCCTTTTCAGGCCGAGGATACCGCTGAAATATGGCCTGAATAATAACACCAAATGAAGTTATGCAAATTGAGCAGTAAACTGATGATAAAGATGTAATCCTAGAGTTAAGATCTATACATGTGCATTATTCCTCTATGTGTATAGACAACTAAGTGAAAATTCCTTAGAGATCAAGTATTGAACTCTGCTACAGGGCACATCAAGGCTAAATTGAAATTATGACAGAGGCATCTGATGTTATTTTGAGGAAATAGTCATTAAGAATTTGATCATAAAAACCTACAGTTCGCTGCCCAGGAATGATTTTTGAAACAGCACTGAGCTTTAGCTGTTTCTCATCCTTTCCAGCATACCATATGAGCAGAGATTCATCCTGAACGAAAAATCAAAAGCATTGAATTAAGTAGAACACAGAATGACATTTTTCTCAAGTCTCAATTTCATCTAATGAACACAATGCTAAAGATATCCAAAATTGATAAAAGAATTGTTTGGGCTGAAATATGAAACAAGCAAGTAACACATTATGGGCATTCCAAGTAAAAGTTGAAGATGAAGATTAGTTCTCAATAATAATAAAAAAAGATATTTATATATTACCTAAAAAATAAGAGATTTATATTATAACCAATCAATTTATATCAGATCTGTTAATTGGTAAAATATGACCCCAAAAAAAAATACTAAGAGGCTTTTGTATAAATTTCAATTTTACCAACCATCACTATAAACCTTGCCACCCAGTTATTAAGTAGCTTTTTTGGTTATAATTTCAATTCTAGTGATGTTAGACAAAGATTGGCAATGGAAGTAAATATGAGTCTAATTAACACACCTATCTAAGGAAGGAGATTAGTCAAGTTTTCACATTTCAACGTTCTTTTGAAAAGGCTGCCTAACTTTCAATGACGAGTTGATAAGTATGCAGGAAATTTTATCATGCCTGTACTAATCATTTTCAATGGGCTAAACTTGTTCTGTCATCAATCCCTTATGAAACTTTTTTGAGTAAAGAATATAACCTAGAAACAAAGTTCACAAAAAAGGAGACAGTTTTACATCATTTGATGGGCTAATATAAAGCTGTCAGGAGAGGAAGTGGCCTGGCAACCTACACTGGAAAGCCGAAATGGGCAGAACTTTGGCTTCCCCCTACGTCCATACTTTAGTAGATATGCACCTTTCTTAAGAGATGTAACTGCCTGCAATAAGAACACAAACGTAAGGGGTTTGTAAAAAAGATGACCCCATGACTGCAAAAATCACTCGCACATGAGGGGAGACCTCTGCTTCCAGCCTGAAAATCCCCTCACGTCGGAAAAATTGAATAATATCCATACCATTAGAAATTGGCTCAACTACCATTTTGGTTTCGTACCACATTCATTCCCAAATCTAGTGTTTTAAAATGGCATGATCTTTGATGAACGTAAAGGATGAATTTGACACAAATTTGAAGTTCCAGGAACAAAATGACAAATAAGCCTCATAGTGGTGGCCCATGGCTTGCAAAGATGCAAATAAAATAATCTTGAGCTAAGAGATTTGATTTATGAGGTTTTACACAAAAAACACTTTCTCTCCGCATGAACATAAAGAAGTAAAATTTGTATTAAGCACGTTGGGTTAAAAAATGAGAAAAACATATGAGGAACTTAGTCTAAGAGAATGAAACATGAAAATGAACCATCAACATGTGAGCTGCTTTGGCGGCCGTAAAACAAATTGAAATGCATATATAATTAAAATTCAACAGTGAAAAATGGATCCGAACACTTTGTGGCAGCAATAGTTGTGAAGCAAGTTTTTATTCTTAGCAAAGTTAAATAAAACAATAATCGAACCTGTTCGATATTCCTATCACCAAAAACCGTTCTCTGAAGATCAGCCATTCAAGTTGCAAAGTCAGGTGCTTGGCAGGAACGGACCCAATACCCATTTGAATAACAGCCCAGAATAAAATGGATACCATAAGGCAATGCCAAAACTCTCCCCATGAAAATCGGAACACTTAACTGAAATTGATAAAAATGTAAGGGAAGAGCTCTTTATTCTACCCCATAACTATGAGAGGCACCTCAGAGCAGAGGGCCGCAGCTCATGAGCTCGACCCAAAACACCCCTGTATTCATAGTACGACAGCAAGTACTCCGTTGAACGTCCTCAGAAGACCCTCCAGTAATAACATTCAGCTCCAAACCAGCTCAATCACACCGACCGTACCAAAGAAACCCTAGGAATGTCTTGAGACCTCTAATCCCAAAGCAACATTCGAATTTCGCCCAGTTCTTCCTGCAATGCACAGCCAGCCATCTAAATGTGGACGAGCTAATGCAGTGACGATTGAAATTACCTGCGCCGCAAGAAACTCTCAGGTCTCCGCCATGCGTGAACCAATTTCAAATAATTCGGGCTCGTTCAACCTCAAAAGAAAATTGCAGAGCTTGTGGATTGCAATTTGAAAAGCCTCTCAGAGACAATGCCTGCGATTTCACAACTCGAAATTTTGCCCAGCACCAGGGAATGCTAACGTGCGCCTTAACGTGCGCGTCTCTCCCCCTCTCTCTTTTTCTCTCCCCCCCTCTTTCTCTCTCTCTTTGTTGAGTCATGTAAGGTTTTCGCTCTTCTCTCTCTCTCTTTCTGGGAGAAGCTGAACTGTTTGTCGCTCCAACATTTCGTTTTTCGGCCGGTAAATGCCACGTCAGAAACCGAAATCTCTGAGATGGGGATGGCTCCTTTTGTCCTTTTCCTTAACTTAGGGGGACAAATAAGTCCAACTATGGGATTTGAAACATTTCTTTCCTTTTTAGAGAGTTATCCCCTGCATCTCACCCTACAGTAGGCCCTTCTTCGGATTGGCTTGACTTCCTTCCACGTTCTTATGGAAGCTTTGAAAAACTTCGAAATAGAGACTTTAGAAAAAAAAGAGTTGAGCTTCATAGCTCATGGAGAAGGTAAACCTCTGTTCAACACATAGTCACAAATTTACTTATAAATTATCTAATAATAAATTATTTCACATTGATAAGTGGCAATAAAATTCAAACTCATAAACTAATGAGATACAATTGTATTCTTATTCTTATCAGGTAAAATATAATTTTTAATTATATATTAAATTTTGTGACTGTCTCCATTTTTCCTCATTTTATTTTAATTTTTAATTTTCTTTAATTTTATTTGTTTTATTTTAATACTTTTTTCTTTGAGTTTTAGATTTATCTTTTCATCTTGTTTCCTTCTAAACCAACACCATAACAATTAACCTTGTATAGTACACATTGAAATTCTTGATAGAAGAGACAATAGTAAGACCAGATGAAAGAAATATTATGAAATATCCTCCAAATGAAATGTTGAGTTTTAAGCTTAGAAAAAATTATAGCTGTATATAATATAAACAATTTAACAAGTTATTTTATTTATTATACATAAATAGTATGGCTTATTTACATATTCTATGCAGCCTACAATAATTATTTTTAAAGGGCTAATTTCTCTTGAAACATGACAACGCTTAAATTTAAATAAGTTGCCAAAATTAGATTAGTAGTACTGCTAAGGAGGAAAACAAAACATTGAATATTCTTTGTAAGTTAATAAATTTTAATCTTTTCATTATATCAATAAAAGTTAGTTCAATGAATTAAAATTTAACATAAATCTTATTATTTACATTGTTAATATATGATTTATAAATATTTCTGCAAACTGTTTTGAATTTAGAAATATGTCATGGCTCTAATCAGCGATAAAAAAAACTTAACTCGCTTTAAATGATAAAAAAGATATTTGCATTATACTTAACCTTGGGAGTTTAAGAAGGTACGCGGTGTTGCCGTGGTCTGTAGCACAGCGAATCTTGTTGCTGCTTTTGCTGCAATTTGTTCTGGCAGGGCGGATTCTGTTGTTCATTCGAAGGAATGAATATTTAAATATGATGAGGATGGCCCAAAAGTGTTTGAACAAAGAAAAAAACAAATTGCCAAAGCAGGAAAAGAAAAATATGGGAGACAACGGCAGTCCCCTCGGCCCCAGGCGATGTCGTTAGTAGCTTGCCTTAAAAGAAGAGAAAATGACTAAGCAGGAGAAGTCATGTTCCGGAAAAACATAATCATCAATTTTTATAATTTCATCAAATTTTATATTTTATATTTTAATTCTTATAATTTTTTAATATTTTTAATTTATATACTTTTTTAAAAAGATTGAGTGATATTAATTTTTTAAATTTTTATAGTTTTTATTTTTTAATATTTTTAATCATTATAAGAATATAAAACACTTAAAAAAATTGCAAGAACTAAAGGTAAAACTTGTTAAAATTATTGGACAAAAAGTTATGTTTTCCTTTATATATATATATATATATATATAAGTATGCACATTATAAATGGATGTGCATCTCTCCATGTCATAATTATATATTCATCTTTTCATGTTATTTATATTACATTACTTAAAAGGTTGTAACTCATGAGATTCTTGAATTTTATCTTTCGCTTAGAATTGATATATTTTTTATGATAAATTATTTTACAATCAATTAATTATTGAAACCTTTGAGATGTAATTGTTTATATCTATATATAATCTTATTTGTATTGTAAACATGGAAGAAAATACAAGAAGTCATTGCTATTCTATTGTATCTATTCTTCCTCCTCCTCCTTTTCTTTCTTCTCATTTCTATTATCTTTATATTTCATTCATAATAATATATATATTGAATATAATTTTATTAAAAAGAAGGGGAAAAAAACTAAAGATCTCATCCAAGAACCCCTAAAACAATAAAATAATGTGAAAGGATTAATAAAATTAAATTTTTCCTTCAAATCTGAGGACTTAAAAAATATAAAGTCACAATGGAGGCCAACAAATTTTTGATAATATACTCAAACTTAAGGGCCCTTGTTGCAATTTTTTTAAAAGTAAAATTACAATTTTGTCCTTAATTAACTTGATATGTATGAATATTCAGTTGAGAATTCATAAATATTGTATTGCATATCCATGAGTATTATGTTATACATTATCTATATAACCTGTTCATTTTATTAAATTCATTTGATCAATTGGGCATGTTGGGACATTGTGATAGAGAAAATCATCCCTAAAAAAATTCAAAATCTTTTGAATCCAACTGTAATCTTTTATTTTTTAGGGCTTACATTGTGATTTTCCTTTAAAAAAAAAAAATCATCCCACGCGAGCCCTATTATGTAGTAAGCGAATATGAAATCATAATATTTGGATGGCTTGCCAGAAGCACATGTAATCATTAAGTCACTAATATTAGGAAAAATCTCACTCAAGGACCCCCTTAGCATGTTTTTAGCAAAGAAGGATTATAAGATTCTAAAATGTCATTGTACACCCATGAGGGCTGGCTGCAAATAAGATTTAAGGCAAAAGGACTTGAGTATCTCTAAATTTTAAAATAATAATAATAAAAAAAAAGGCATTGCAGAAGAAACCTTTCCCATTTCACCTGATAACTTAAAACCCATCTTTACCAAATCCATCGCTTTCATAATCGGACCCTTCTTCACTCATACTCGAACCCCCAGAAATGGCTGATTTTAAGCCTTCATTCATCATTTTACCATCATTCCATTGCCCACACCATATGAATCCCCCCTCTCACCCATAATCTCTTCCTCTGAATCCTCCCCCAACTCCTCCTCCTCATTATATAATGTATAAACCGTTGATAGAAATAAATTAAATTTTCAAACCAAGTATGAGTGGACTTGTCATTTCATTAACATTATTGAAATGGCAAGTTCACTTAGGTTTCTTAGTAGATTTACACCGTATCCAATTTGAGTTTTAACAGGTTTATTTGTATAATGTTCAAATATGTTGAGAAGATTTTTACAAGTAGATATCATTAAAAAAATATGGTAAAGTTAAAATTTAACAAGTTCAGTTCATATTATATAATTAAAAAAAATAAGAGAAATCTCACTTAAGGACCCCTGTAGCATGTTATTAGCAAAGAAGGACCGTAAAATTCTGAAATGTGACTGTACACTTATGGGAGCTTAACTGCAAATATGAGATTTAAGGCAAAAAGACTTGATTAGTCCTGAATTTTAAAATAATTAAAAGACGTGCCGCAAAGAAAACCCCACCCATTCCATCAGACAACTCAAACCCTATCTTCCCAAACTCATCACTTTCACGCCTATCGGAGCATTCTGTAATCAAGCTTGTCACTCCACCGACCCCAGCATTCATGAACGCACCTTAAAATCTTGCCCTTCCAATGGCTGAGGTTCAGTGTAATTTTTTATAGTCTTGCCTTCCCTCTTCTTTTCCTTTTTTTTAAACTATAATATCCTTCATTAATTATATTAATTAATTTTTTATTAATTATTTTTTATGATTATGAATAATAAAATTATGAGGAGTAATTTAAAAAGTTTACAATAAATGTTTATTGAAACATATAATTTTATTTATATGAATTTAATAAAAATATAAAAATTTTAATTTTTTAAAAAAAAATTTAAGGATTTTAATTTTCAGGGCTTAAAGAATTTAATTCATTAGACTATAAGAATTCAAGTAAAACAAAATAAACGACAAGGACTTAATTCAAACTAAAAAAATTATAAATATTTACAGATAGATTTTCCCTTAAATTAACTCTCCACAATATATTAAATAATGTAATTTCTTAAATATTTTATATTTATACTACTAAAGATTTTCATTAAACGCAATATATAAATTTTTCACAACAAATGACATTTTTAAAAGTGGATATAATAGGGCTGTACAAAAACCCAATAATCCAGTCCAACCTAATGGAACCCAGTCCGATCGAGAAAAAATTAGTCCAATTCAAAAAATGACCAACTAGATCAAACTTTTCATTCGAGTTGGATCGGATAGATCACTATCAATTCCTTTATTTTTAAAGAAGTCATATTTCAAGGTTTTCAACTTTTCATTTCCATTGTTGCATTATCATTCATCGGTTCTTCCATATTCACAAAAGTTGACTTCATGTCTTTCTTCCATATTCCTTTATTTCTTCGCTTCATATTCACAAGCTATAATAGCCTTTCTTTTTACCATTCGTCTGGTGCTGAAGCATACAAATAATAACTTGCTAGTTCTTATTCTCTCCCTTGTTCTGTCACAGTTTCCCATTTCTTCTTAGTGCTACTATTTCTACTCATCAGAATATATATATTTATTTAACAGGAAAGTGGAGCCTTACATGGCTGTGATAATACTGTAATTTTTGTATAATACCCTGTGCAATATTGATATCATAATGCACTCATTGCCATCTTTCATTTTTTATATAATAATGTAGTTTTTTTTTGCTTTTATTTAATTATTTGTTTTATTTTCGTTCGGCTGACTTATATCTTTTAATTTATTCTCATTGTGTTAATTTATTTGTTTTAATATTTTTTGATAAATTTTATATGATTATAGGCATTTTTATTGTCTTCCTTGAGTTTAAAATTTGAATGGTTAAGATTTAATGTTATATAAAACTATTATACTAAATAAATAAATAGATCTAAATTGTTAAACTTAAATCTGACTTGAACACTTCGTAATTGTAAACTAAAATTAAGATAAATAAATTTAATTAAATCTCAATCCTTGAATTTTGATCTGAAGATGAGAAGAAGAAAAAGAGACAAAGGATCATGAGAGGATCCAAATCCCGCAACACACGTCCATTGGGTCAAACTGGTTTTGTTAATTTAAATGTCTAAAGGGGAAAAAAGAAATAAAGAATTGAACACTTTTTATTTTGGAAGAAAATGGGATGTCATTACTTGAACCAGAATTACACCATTAGCCTTGGCGGGATTTGAAGGATCTAAAGATATTTACTAGAAGCACAAATTAGAAATAACGGTGGAGGACCTAACAATGTGATCCACAAAAGCTAATGCATCGTTAACAAAGTGATAAAAATTGATGGATTCTTTATTTTCTTGGTGACATCCTTTTTATGTTTGCTTGTAGTGGCAGAGCCACATTGGGTTTGTATCCCTTCACTTTTGAAAAAATTATAAAGAAAATATATAAAATTTACAACTTTACACTCTTAACTCTTAATATTTTACATCTTTTGAATTAAATGAAAAATATTAAAATTAAAAAAATTTATTAAATATATAATATTTAATAATTTAAATAAGATATAAACAGCATATTTATAATAAAAAAGTATACTATTATTTAATTTAATATAATTTTTTAAAATAAAAAAGATGATAAAACTATTTATATTATTAAAAAATTTAATCCTAATATTATTATTATCATTATTATTTAAAAAATATTTTTTATTAAATTATTTTACATCCTTAATTCAAGATCCTGATTCTATCACTGTTTTCTTGTACTAGCAAATGAAAAGAAAAGACATGTTTGGTACACGAAATTACTTTTTTTAAAAAATAAAAATATATCTAGAAAGAATAGAATAAGTGCATTAATTATTCTCCTTTTAAAAAATATTTTTCTATCTATCTTACAATGCATAATGATGTTTTGCTGGCCAAGATTTCTCTGCTTTCTTTTGGATCCCTGCCTGCTTTTGGAATCACAACAGGCAAATCAAAGCAATATGATAATCTCTTCGCATCCAAAACCTAAAAATCGGTTAAAGAAATAAAATTTAATCTTATATCAAATTAAATGACTTAAATATTTTGATAAAATATATTATTATTAAACATATTTAATATAAAAAATCTAATATCTTGAATGTAAAACACCTATCTAACTTCTCTCTCATATTTATCTTTTTTTTTTTTTAAACTACCCTTATCGATTGCCAGCAATAAGTTTAGAAAAGAGATATTTTAAGAAACCTTGTACATTGTCTTTAAAAATAGCTAATTTAACTAGTTCTTAATGCACACGAATTAGTTATCTAACCCTACATTTAGGATTTAGAACCAGAGTATATAAAATAATCCATGTTAATCTACTTAGAGCATGCATATGAAAAGAAAACATCCATATTTTTAAATCTGCCATGCTTGCCAGAATAGTAATACAAGTTGATATACTTTGCAACAAGCTCACGTGCCCTTTGGCCATTCCTGATTATAAGATTCTTCAGGCTTTCATCGAGTACAATAGCCCATTGAAGCAAGTAACAACCCACATTTGTCACTGAGCTGAGAATCAGAGAGAGAAACTAACCCACAGGCGATGATTCCTTTACACAATGAATATAATTTGAACTCCTTGGAACATCTTTCAGTTAAGACTAATAAAGAATTTTAAGCAAAGAGTAGAAACTACGCGTGAGAATTGGAGAAAATCAATTCAGTTTCTCAACCTTCACAGAGTTTGACGGACCTATATATGTTTTCCTCCAATATCCCACTGATAATGAGAAGATGCTTCTTAGTTCTTCGGCATGGAAAACAACTCTGGTGAATTCAATGTCCTGGGAATTATAGCCAATGCAATGTGTTCATAATTTAGTTACCATGCCATGACATAACTACTGCAGTATTTAGCAAACTGTCAACAGTAACACTACAGATTAGGAATTATATTCATAAACACCCTTCAATATATATAGTCATCATCAAAGACCATGTAATTTCCATTCCTTCTCGCTCTAGCCTCTCTGTCGGCCTGCACAAACAAATCAATACGTTCATGATAATATTTAGTATCGCAATATGTTTGAATGAGCAGCATTGGTAGAACATCCTACATCCATAACTTCAAATCTTTCCCCTTCTTTTCAATATAAAAGCCTATGGGTTTTCTCTTTCTTATCTCTTCCCACTTAATTTAATTTAGACAGAACGTTACATTGACTGGAATTCCTTGCCATATTCAGGCCTCTATTAACACCAGCAAGTTGAAATATTGAATAACCCAAAAATTTTGCAGCTTTCCTTACACTACACAGTAAAACACTGGACACTATGCTTACCTTGTGAATAAGTCTCTCAAATGCTACTGTTCCATGCTCCTCCATGTATCTCTCAGCGGCAGTTAGAACGTCATCTGGTTCACTGAATATGTCCTTCTTACGCGGAAAATACCACATTTGAGAAGCTTGAGGAATTTGGGGCAGTTGTGGGTTCATGTAGAAGGGTCTAATATATTGCTTATAAACATGTGCTGCCCCATTGAAATGTGGCAGCACCAACCAGCAACTGAGAATCAACTTGGCATAAGGCCAAATAGCAAGCCTGAAAGTAACAAGCTTCATTATTACACTCCAGTAATAGAAACACCAGACTTTCAAAACTTGCAAGTTGCAACCGAGCAAAAAAAAAAAAAAAACCAAAAACAAAAAACAAAAAGAACACAACCTTACAAAATACTAAGTCGTGCTCATTTTTCTTATTTTTCCTTTCAAAGGGCAGAGCTCATCAAAAGTTTGATTCAATTACTCATATATGCAATCTTTTAGAAGAAAATATAACAACCACGTATCAGTCATGATGTGACTCTTTCAAGTCTAAACTATACATTAACACTTAAGCATTTTCTCAAGTAACGAAAAAATTTAGAAGTATTGGTGCATTCCAACCACAGCCAACTCGAGCAATAGCAAGCAACCATACTCATATCGTAAACAGGGACGCTTACGCTTCAAGAACTTTGGCAAATGTGAGTTCAAAGAGTGTGATCAAGGAATAAAGAACCCAATAGGTGAGCCATTGTTGATCATCAGTGATGGACCTGGTTTCTATAGCCTTAATCGAAGCATATCTGTGAAACACAAGAAAGGGCGTGAAGAAAAGACAAAACCCACATCAAGTTAGGGCATCACATTGCTTCACAGTAATGACGCAAAATGCACAAAACAAAAGGCATACTTACAAAGGGTATACCAGGGTGACTAAAGGCCTGGGGGAAAAAGCAAACAAAGAATATAACCAAGTTCAGTGTGATTTGCAGCAAGATGCCGAAAGAACTTGAAGGAAAAGGGACTTACAATAAAAGAACATCTAAGTTATTGGCGATGACTTGGAGTAAATTGTTCCCAGAAGCGCCCATGTCTTGCAATGGTTGTCTGTTTATTTTCTACAGAACTGAGATGAGGGTTTAGTGGAGAGCAGACATGGAGTTTGGGATATGAGAGAGAGAGAGAGAGAGAGAGAGAGAGAGAGTTTGAAAAAGAGAGTCCAAAAAGTAAGAAAGGAAATGCGAGAAAGTTGGCAATGGGGTCTCTGGAAAGAACTGATTTTTTGGGAGAATTTTTTCGCGCTCGAGAAATGAGGCACCGAAATTTTCATTTTTCCTTTTTTCTGGCTCCTTATGTCGGAGGACATCTCTCATAATCCAGCATCGCTTAATTTCCGGCCAAAAACGTTGTGAGTCCAAAATCTAAAAATAAAAGGAAATAGGTTTTTTAAAAATATCCTATTAATTGCACGTATATCAATAGCTTTTAATGTAAATGATCCAAATGATTAGTATTTTAGTAGGAAAACAAACACACATTTTTTACAAATAACTAACATAACTAATTTAATTAATTTGAATTAGTTACTAGATTAAAGATGAAATGTATAGCATATCGATCATGTGTCTCTGATTTTAAAATTTTAAAATATAATAAACTTTTGGCAGGGATGAAAACCCTGAAAAGAATATACTTGGACCAATTTTTCTTCTTGGCCCAATAAAATCTTCATATAGCTGGGCTGGGAAAAAATGGATCTAGCAAGTCCTATCTCATACCATAATTTCGTAAATATATATATATATATATATATAAAAATAATTTCATTAGCAAGTATAATTCGTTAGTACTTCTATAAATATGAAGCTTATCATTTGATCTAGTCTTGATAACCCTACGGCTACGAGAGACACAATTAGCTGAACATTAATAACATCAGAACATTAATATCTCCCGGTTTAGTAATTTATTTTTTAAAGAAAGAGCTCCCTTCCTAGTTCCAATTTATCATTAGGAAAAATTGGTTCAAATAAAGACATATTTCTCTAGCTTTCAGTTTAGTATTTTAAAATCAAATCGAAATAATTTTGGTTTAATTTAATATGGTACGCACATAAATTTAAATATGGGGTCGGAAAATCACAACTGACCAGTCTCTATTCTGTAAGGTGTGAGGTATTTTCCTAACTGCATTTCTTATGTTTGTTTCATTTATATCACTCCATTCCATCCTTTTTATTAAGACATTTGGAGGAGAGATTTTTTTTTTGTCATGTTTATAAGGTACCACGTGAAATATTTGTGACAGTTTTTCATATCACTCTTATTAGGTGTTAATTTATATTTTCCAAGCTTGATTCTTTGGTTTCGTAAAGAATTTGTTTAATAAGAGAAACACTAAAAAAAATTAATTTTCAAACACAGTTTATGAGTTTTAGGAAAATTAATTAGAGAAAGTTTGCGTCTCCACCACATTCTTGAAGAGGCCAAAAAGTGCTTTTTTGTTTTGATTCACTTTGAGGACCAAATGTACTTCTTTCGGAAGCACTTTCTTAGTCATCAACTTCCTCATATCAATACTTAATCCAAACACTGTTAAAAAATACATAATATATGGCGCCTTCCATATAACAATTACTAAAAAAAAAAAAACTACTACACGTAGAAGAGGAGACGAGATTGGGAGCATTTGAATATATAATACTTAGCTAAAATAGCCGTTAATTTCTTTTTTTCAAAAAAAACTTTTTCTTTCAAAGTCTATATAACAATTATTTTAAAACAACCATTATATCATTCTTAAAGATTATATAGCAGTTAGTTTCAATAACTGTTATATAGTCTAATTATTTTATAATTTTTAAACCTAATATCTATTTTGCTGTTATTTTTAAATAACTGCTAAATAATTTCATTTAACAAGCTTTTCAACTTCAATTTGCCATCAAAATATTACGACTTACAAAACTTCAAAGACTCTCATCCTCCCGTAAAACCTCTCCATTCACCAAGAAATTCTCCCATTGTGTTTGAAAAACAATTTCCATTGTAACCCCAATTGTTTTCAGCCATCGTTTGTCTTGCCTTAGTGGTTTTGTCTTGTTTCTATGAGTTTCGATATCTGGGAGTCTGGTGGGTTCGTGGGTTCTCTTCTTTCATCTTCTTCAAGTTTTTCTCCATCAAGTTTGCAATTCTCTCCTTAATCTCCCTACTTTATCATCTTTCTTAAGTTTTGGTTGTTCTTCTTCTATGCATGGAGTGTACATGCGACTGTTTTTCTCAAGCACCCCCCTCCAATTGTGATAAGTGGATTATTTTTAATATTCATATTTGAATTTTTTTTAATCAATATGTGATTTTTGTGATAGGGGTCATTGGATGCCACTCATGTTTGATCTATATAAAGGCTTGATTTGTTGTCTCGATTCACTTGAAGGGCAACCGACTAACCGGAAACATATCATGGTCATGTTCAATAAGTAAGTTAGTTAATTTTTCTTTATGTGTTTAAATTATTATTTCTATGAAGTATTTGATATAGAGTTTCATACTATCATGTAAGACTATCCACATGTTTCGTAGCCAAAAATCTTTGCCTTCAATTCATAATAATGCACAAAGTTATGAGAACGCATTTGATTATATTATAATTAAGGTATACATTTACTCTAAATTTATTTAATCAAATTTAACTCACTATATTTTAACTTTTTATTATTTTTTTGTTCAAAAGAGTCCACAATAATGTAACAAGACTGTGGATTGTAACTCCAACAACATGAGGTATATGAAAGATATAATCAATTATGCACTGAATGACGAGATTTTGCATGCCCAAATATGTCTTTTATCTTTGCTATATTAATTTTAAAAATTTACATTATATTACACACATCACATACTTAAGCTTAATTTTTGTTGTTATGTTTGGCTTAGCAGTATTTTGATGATGCATTTGTAAAGGAATATACTGCAGCTGACATTGAAGAGATCCTCCAAGAGTTGTCACATGATTTGTTCAAACAACAAATAAAATATTCACGATTGGGACATGAATGATCACAACCATTAACTTGCTCAATTTTGATTCATTATATAGGCACTTTAGGTTCTTTATATTTTGGCCAATTTTAGCTTTACTTGGAAATTTTTGTGTGTATAGGCATTTTTTTTAACAATTTTAAAGTACTTTTAAATAGATTATAGAAATTATTGTAGGTTGGAATAATTTTGGTTTCAATTACATACAAATTTTGGTTGAAATTGCAATTCTGTTGCTGGGTTGCAATTCTAAGAATTTTTGCATTCTATTTTGTAGGGTATTATTGCTCAAAATGCAACTCCCCCCTTTTTTAAAAAAGTATTAAACTATATGGCGATTATTTCATTAAATAACATATGAAAAATGATAAAAACTGAACCCAACTATATAATTATTTTTATGAAATAATCGTTGAATAATATAGAGCAATTATTTAAGGGTTATTTTAAGAGAATTGTTAAATAGTTAGTTAAAATGTTGGTGGGGCTTGTGACTAGAACAAAATATATAATGGTTATTTGTAAATGACCATTATATAAAGTGAAATTATACGGTGGTTAAATAACTGCTATGTAGTTTATTCAAGACTATAAAGCTAAGCTATATAGCAGTTATTAATTGTTATATATAGATAAAAAATAACTGTAGCATAGATGTTTTTTTTAGCGGTGAAAATTTGCATTTCACACTTATCCCTTACCCCTCTCCCTTTTTCAAGCGATTCTTATATTAAGTCTCTCTTTTTCTTCACATTATTTCCCTATCTAGAAATTGTATTTGGTGTGAGGAAGGAATATGAGATATTTCATTTCTTAATTCGATATACAAGAAATGAAGGAAAAATACAAGAATAGGTCCTTATACTTCGATTGCATTTTTTTATTCTCTATATATGGTTTTATTTCGTTGTTCCTTGATCTCTCTTTAGTTTAATTTGATCAGTTTATAATGTCAATCCTTATAGTTTTAAAAACGCACATGAAACCATGAGCTGGCCTAGCACCGACAGAATTAATTTTTCTAATGTATGCTTAACTCTGCAAGCTCTATTGTTGATACGTACTTAATCTTACCTTTGCTTCCCACATTCTATTTAATCCAAGAATGTATGATGAACCTTATTTTTGCCCCCCCTTATCTTTTATTTCTAATCATACCTAGTTAATTTATTTTCATCCCAATATATTTTTACCATGTTAATAAAGGAATTGGCAGAATTGCAGTAAAATTAACTTCATCAATGTTGTATTGTTTTGTGCATTTTTTAAAATTATAGTGACTAACTTTGCAGGAAGATCAAACTAAAGAAATTGGAAACAATGAAATAAAACTATAAGGACTAAAAATAAAATGCAATCTAGTACATAGACAATTGTATTCTACTCAAAAATGAATATAGAACACGGCACTTATTTTTCTTGAGCACTTGTCCAAACTAAACTTTTAAAAACTGACGTATAGGGAGGGAAACGAAGAATCATGACTGTACCAATGATTCCAAATATACGAAACCCAAATTCATTAATGAGAATTGGTCCCTTCCACTAAGTTATCCCACAGATGTGTATATATATATATATATATATCTCTAGCTCCAGCTGTAACCCCTTAATTTGGCTCTTCGTCACCACACATCATGGCCTTCCCAATAATATTAAAATTAAAGCCCAGAAATATTTGTGCTCATTGATTATAACTTGATATGGAACCCGAATCACATACTTATGGGTTGCAGATTGATGATGAAGGACATAAAACGGGAAAAAAATTCCATCTGGGATTTAACGAATTATTGAAGAGAGCACAAGATGTGATATGATGGTGTGGTTACGTACGTACCCAATGACAGAGCAGTGAAAACGTTACTGCAGTAAATAAATGTTGCATTATTTAGGGAAATGAATTCATGGGGTGAGGACCCACGTTCTGAGAAATGAAACTGGGGAAGCTTAATGAGTTTGTGTTTGTATATGAGAGTGTGTAACAAGATTGACACATAAAAGGATAGGTATCTTGTGCAGAATAAAGAGCAACTGTTGTACGGTTTGGCCTATATACACATGCTTCCTCTCCCCCACCCTGCACCATCATTAATGCTTTCTTTTTACACGCTCTTCATTTTAACTCATTTTTCCTCTCCATTAATACGCACTTCAATCTTATTTATAAGGCATAGATGGAAGAATTATTTTGATTCTATTTATAAGTTAGATTATAAATTTTTTAGTGTAATTTTTTTTGTTTTATTTAGAATTAATTAATAAGTTTTAAAATTTTTCTTTATTCTGGTGATATATGTTGAAAATAATTTATAAATAAAATTAAAAAATAATTTATATATATTCAAGCAAGACTTCATTATTCGACGACGTATAGATGTAGGCAAAGGAATCTTCAATTTTCTTCCGCTTGAATTAAGGTTCGCAACCTAAATTTTCAACTCTCAAAATCCAACAATCTTGGTGGGTTCCACGCGTTTTGATTAATTAATTAATTAATTAATTAAGATGTTTATCTATCGCCATAATATTTTGGATATATGTGTGTGTATTACATGTTGGCATTTATGAAAAAAAATGTTTTCTACTAACTAACGTTGGTCTTAGTAGAGGTGGTCATGATTACTAATTAAGTATAAGGTGTCATGTTCAAATTTATGTGAATGCAAAAAAATATTTTTGAAAAGAGTTGCCTCCAATTAAATTCAACAATGTTCGAACATGAATCAATCAAATAACCATATAAAAATGTTGTTAAAAAAGAGGATAGAGAATGCACCTAGAAAAAAATGAGGTAGGTGCATTTCTCAATTTCTTCAATTCCTAGAAAATATTTTTCAGCCTTCTAAATTTGTTGGTATCTATCAGATCATCATGTTTGTCAATGAGATCCTTGTAAACATTATGTGCAAACTCAGTTTTCAGGTTGAAAATTGTGTTAACTAAGTTATGGCGCATAGATAATCTACAAACAATACTATGTAAAACACGTGTGCAAAGTGGGAATTCTATTTTAGGGTCCATCATGCATATGTTTTGCAACTGAAGAAGTGCTTGTAAAAAATTATATTTATTTGATTCTTATTTCTTTTTCTTCATTCTTACATATATTTTTTGGATTTTGCACAATAAAGTTGCGTACAGCCCTAAAGGCTGAAGACTCATGATCGTTGATTGAAAAGAATCAAAAGATGTATGAATGAAGAAAGTAGTGCGGGCACATAAAAAAGTATTCCAAAAAAAAAATCGTCTAATAAGATTTAATTTGAACAGTCGCAATCAGTAAAACTTTTGGGAAACGCGTCTTTGAAAATTGCACGACATGTATCATCAAAATTGATCGCATCGAGATCTTTCATTTCATTGATTATAAAATTTATGTTGCATAAACTAAAAAACTACAACTATTAAAGGAGTCGTAATATCGCTTTGAGAGAATAAAAAGTCAAAAACGTAGTGATGCAACAGCTAGCTATAGCAATATACATAGCACCTCCTTCCCTTTCTCTTCAACTTGTCAAGTACCAAGCCATGCACTTTATGCATGGATCTCTCTCTCTCTCTCTCTCTCTCTCTCTCTCTCTCTCTCTGAGTCACAGACACACCTTTATGTGGATAGCGTGTGTGTGTGTATGATACATGCTTAAGCAAACCATCAAACATAGTATTTGTCAAACTGTATATCAGACCTGCATCAGTTTTGTTAGACTCAAATTGCTACAGGTTGGAGGTTCTATATATATTTTTTTTAATTCAGACTCTAATTCATTGAGGAGCTTCTTCTTCTTCTTCTTACAAAATTATAATATATGCATCATGCATGGACAAATTAATGTAAATGAGGCTAACTACATATGGAGTGCTGCAACATTATGAAAATACTTGTTCAGATGGATGAACAAATTAATATAAAGGAAAATAACAGGGTGGGGTTGAAGCACTCGAAGTAGTGCAGAATATATCCAAGTCTGGATTATGGATTGGGCGATAATTAATTAAGATGTGATGAAGATAGTAACTATCACCAGCAAACGTACAAGTCTCGCGTATGATTATGATGTGCTAAGCTACCTAGCCAGTGATGAGCTATACATGTTTATATGAGAAAGAGAAAGAATGAAGGCATTGTGTGCACAGCAAGAGTCTGTATTTGGATTTTAGGGAATGTGGCCAAATCCCATGGGGCTCACCACCACTTGATAAGTTCCACACCTAACACCTCCAATTCAAACCCTTTTCCACCATCTTTAGCTCTCTCTTGGTCCCTATATGGCTACGTACCCACTACAATACATATCATTCACACGCCCTAACACTATCATATATATTATTCACGCTGCTGTTTTTCCAGAGCTCTCAGACATCACAGAGAGATGTCATATTTAATTTCTTTCTGACCCACATTATTGCAAATGGATTTATCTTTTTATATGCCTTCGATCCATGAACCTACCGTAAACACTATTAACATAGCAACAACATTACTGTATATGCTATATAATATATATATATATATATATATGTAAATAATGAGCTAATATCTCATCTTAAAATTATATGAGCATACATGGCATGTATACGTGCTTAATTGAAACAAAACGAGGAGAGTTAGACGGACAGCAAAACCAATAAATTAAATCACTCTGTGAAGGGAAAACAAATTAAAGCTTGGGCGAAGCAAACAGCTCTCAATATGTATGTGTTTTTTTCTCAAACCCTAATATCACCCTCTGCAACACTAAAATCGAATATTAAAGCAATCAAACTCGAGCCTGTGCTGCAAATAGACATGATAGAAATTTAATTATATATATAGACTCGGAAACCGATATATATAGTAGAAGACTAGCTGTGAAAAGTAGTAGAAGATTCAATAGCACATGTATTAGTTCATACACATTAGTGTGTTACTATTTGATCCTCATTGTTATTCCTCAGGAATGCTCACCTCCTCCGTGTCCGGTGATCGCGGGAGATTCCGGAACGCCACTGGACGGAATCTGTCTGTATGCATTTAGGGCTGCAAGCATGCCTAAGTTGCTTTCATTCATCACTGTACCGCCTAATTGCTGTCCACCCATCAGAGCCATTGGAGAAGCAAAATTCATAAAATGAATTCCGCTGCCGGGCATGGCTCCTCTATACATATTACTGTAATTACCGCCGGAGGGAATTGCCCATACAGGGTCACCACTACTGCTTCCGCTGTTACTGCCACTGCTGCCCATGGATTGGTTGTTTCCGGCGGGGCTACTTACCATCCAAAACGTCGCCGGAACTGATGAATGACTCGCCGGAATTGAACCGGTGCTGGACTGTAACAAATAACTGCCTATCTGACTCTGTGATAGTTCCTGTTCCGGTGACCTCCTCTTTTTTGGCAAGCTTCCTTCGGTTTCTGTTGGCGTGGATTCAAGGCCGCCGCCGCCGCCGCCAGTTTCTTCCCTAAGCTCTTGCTTTGATAGTTGTAGAATGGCATTCACATTACTCGCAGAACTGAAATTATTCATTGAAGAATTCTCGGAAGAAGAAGACGAAGAAGAAAACCCGACGGCGCCCCCGGGAAACAAGATCCTTCTGGGATCATCCATGACCGCGTTTCTCAACTGCAACGATGAAGAAAACAAGCTGGGACTGAAGTAATTACTATAATTATTACCCCTGAAGTACTGTGACGGCGCTGACACCGTCGAGCCGGAGCTGCGGAGCGAGATGTTGAGGGAAGTAAAATTGGCAGGAATGGTCCCAGTCCCCGTAGCGGCGATCACGGCGGGTTCTGCCTGTTGGAGCAGCCACTCGATGGTCTCGCCGTCGGACTTATGGCCGAGCTCCCTGGTCAGCTGAAACACTCTGGCAGCGCAAGCCGCCGGCATGCGGATCCGACGGCCCCGACCTTCCACCTTCGTGTGCCTGTCCTTGGTGGATGTGCGCTTCGGAGGCGCCTTCTTGGAATTATCGGCGAGCTGGAGGTTATTTTCGGGTCGGGTCGGGTCGGCGAAGCAAGCTTTTGCCACAGCCGAATCCTCCTCCTCCTCGTGTCGCTGTTCACCATTTTTCTTCTCCAACAGCTGCAGAGGAAAATTAGGTCTGCGGATCCCATTAGGATGATCTGACTCCTCCATGATCATATGATCTGAAAATATACAAAAGCTGAAGGAAGGAGGGGAATTTTTTTTTATTAATTTTATATAGAAATAGAAAAAAAAAAGCAACTGAAATCTACTGGTGCATCATATCACCAACCCTCACGATGATATGGTGTAGTGGGCTAAGTGGGTCTGTCTTTCTGGGTGTTTCAGCTTTGTGGAGCATGGAAATTCCTCTGTGACTGCTGATGAGTTGTGTTCTCTCTCTAAAAGTCTAGAGAGAGAGAGTATGGGGATGAGGATGACAAGCTTTAAGCAACAACAATAATGAGTGGGAATATAATAATAAGGGGTCATCCTATAATTTCCAAAAGCAACCAAAATGAAGAAAAAGCTCATATTATTCAATAATGCCGTGTTTTCATTTGGCCAAATTACTTTAGCACGGATTGGTGCAACAAAATTTTACAATTCAGGCCAAGAAAATTTAGAACATAAAAAAGAGTTTCTTCTTTGACGTTTGTCAAGTACAGAATTTAAAATTAAAATGATTTTTTGACGATGTAAACACATGAATAATTTATACTTATTAATAATACTACCTGTATTAAAAATATATATATGTGAAGCAGAAAATGAATTATATTGTCTTGATAGTTTATGCACTTTCCTGTGACTATATATTTATGTTATGATAGGTTTCTTGCAATTTTTATTAATATGTTAATGTTGATTGGAGCTGATTTTGAGTTTGACACGTTATAAAATGTTTTTTCCCTCTAAATTCGTAGTGGTGAATCCTTACCTTATATTCAGGTAAAAATAACAATAATTAAGTAATAAGAAAGTCATGTCACATATAAAAATCAATAAAAAAATCACCGACTTTTGCAAGAATTTTGCAAGAACTAATAAATGAGTGTAATTTTTGTTGAAAAGGTAGATTTTCGCGGACAATATTAAACGTGATATATAATATTTTTGAATGGTTTTAAATATTAAAAGTATAAGTAATTAATTACTGGATAAATTGGCTTGAAAATTTATAAGGGTGATATATCAACAAATATAATAAATCAATCATAATATAAAATATAATAAATATTAGGCTATTTATTTGATATGATTTTATAACATACATTATATCTATGAAGCTCCCTAATTAATTTTTATGCATAAATAATTGAGGGATAGGAGGATTCGGTATCAAATAATTAAAAAGGAAAAAAAAAAGAAGATTTCTTTTCAAGGAGGGAAGGGATTAATGAAAAAAAGGTCAAAAAACAAAAAAGTGGGGAAGAAAGAATAGTAAATAAAAGAGAGAACTGGATATAGGTTGAGATAAAGAAAACTAATTATTTACAAGTTTTATTCACTTATAAATATTAATTTTAATGTATACTCCTTCTAAATCATAATATAAAGCATTATTAATTGATTCATATTTTTTTAAAAAAAGGCTAGAATCTTCCTCTCTTACAAAAAATATACATCTTTCTAATTATATTCTTATTAAATGCTCTATATAATACTCTAGAGTCTATTCCTTATTAATATAAAAATATACATCTTTCTAATTTTGATGCATTATTTTTTTCAAAAAGAATAATAAATAAAGTAAAAATATAATTAAAAACTACCTAATGCCATATACCATAGACTAAGCAAAATTTTTAAAAAATACCTTGAGTTGGGATAAATATATTGGTGAAAAAACATGTAAATATAGAAGTTTGACTTGTAAATGGATCGAAAAGTCCAATTCATATTATAATGTACATTTAGCTACCTTGCTGAAATTAACGAGAGATAATTAAGTCATTAACTTTATATAAAAATAGAATAAACTTCTATATTTATTCATATTTAAAGAAAAAAATTCAAATTTGCATTACACTTCCTTTCATAATTAATGAATTTAAATAGTTATGATATTAAAAAAATAATTAATAATCCACCAAGATTATCCATCTCTTCTAAAAGATGCATTATAATAAGCATCAGAAAAGGACCTAATTGCAGCAGAATAAAATTGGAATAGGGTTTGGCAGATGATGTGGGGAAGAGTGGCTTGAATCAGACCTCACGTGCGTCTCTGTTCATGATTCGATTCACAAACACATCGCTGGCCTAGTGGCCGGTGCCACACCAGCTAGCACGACAAACCCCCCCCCCCCCAAAAAAAAAAAAAAAGTTCACCGTCACACAAAAATAAAATAATATTATAAAATTATAATTTTAAATTTTCACACTTTACTTTAATTTTATTATAAATTTCTATTTTTTTTATATTTTAAATTTTTAAATTTTTATTTTTTAACATTTTAAGTACCTTCATGAGCAATATTGTAGAAACTTAAAGCATAAAAAAATTATAAAGACATAAAATATAAAGATTTAAAGTTAAGTTTTTTTAATAAATTAATAAAAATGTAAAAATAATAAATAATAAAAATCTAGGAAAGTCATACATACCCCTTTCTCTGCGCCACTTAATATAAACAAAGATGCACTAAACATGATAATGTAAGAGTTGGTGGGATTTTAGATATCTGGTACAATTTACAATGGTTTTTAAAAAAAGGAATAATCAAACTTTTGATCCTTTAAATTTATATTAATTATCAGTTTGATGTTTGAAATTTAATCTTTACCAATTAAATCTCTAAAATTTCATAATCATATATACAGTTAGTGCTTATAATATTATTTTTTTAAATCATGAGGAGTAAATATTAGGTTTTGTAAGGATTTTGATAGATAAAAATTAAATTTCAGATATCAAACTGATAATTGAAATATATATATATATATATATATGAAGATCAAAAGTTTTATCATCCTTTAATTTTAAAAATAGTAATAAAATGTTAAAAAGAAACCTACAACAATTGTGACGAAAGGATGTAAATAGCATGCATCAAAACTTAGCGCAGATGGTTAGACATTCAAACTTCGGAGCAGGTGGTACTTTGTTGACTCAATTTGACTGACACAGCTTAAAACTCAGATTTGGCTCTATCTTATCCATCTTTTATTTCCATTTTTTTACATTAAAAAAAGAATACTCTTGTTTTTCTTTTTATATTTCATGGAGCTTGAGAAAGAAGCTAGCCATAGCAGTATCATTCTTATGAGCCAACCCGCGCCGTTGATATTAATGGAAAAAATTATTATTGTTTAAGTGTGAGTTGTTGAATTTGAGTTTGTATAAATATAAAAATTATCTCTGAAAATTATTTTTAATTGGACTTTTTGACAGTATCCGAATCAAACTCCTTAGCATCTGATGTCAATATATTTATGTTAAAAACAGAGAATGACAACTCAGGACCACAGAAGAGCATTAATGTGAAATAAAGATCTTCAAGTTGTAGACATCAAAGCTGAGTTGTAAGTTTTGAAATTTCAATTATAAAAAATCCTTGATATGTTTCAAGAATCCTTATTTATAATTCTCCCTAAAAATATCATTCCCATGAAATTTTTTCAATTTTATATTTTGTATTGACTATCAAATTGACAGTTTTATGTATTTTTTATTTTAAAATATTCATCCAAGAAATTAAAGCTTAAGATTAAAAAAAATCTTTAGTCTTTACCAAAGCATAAGTCAAAAACAAATTTTCATGTTGGGTTAAATAATAAGTATTAATATATCATAAAAATGGTATATACATGATACTTAATAGGACTAACTGAGTTTGATTAACGAAATAATCCTGATTGTTTCTTTATATATGTATATATAACCCTAAAATATTTTTCGTACTAAATATAGTGCAATCATTTAAAGTATGAAGCATGGCACATGTAACCCCATGTGACCAAAGGGACAAAGTGTGACTTAAAAGCTAACAAAATAAATTGGAAATAGCACTACACTGCCAAGCAAAATGGCACAGTACAATTACATTTCACCAACCGACACGCCTAACTAATAATGATCAAACCAAATATATAATTATTCATCGCTCAAATATCGATCGTTGTTGATAAAGATGAATTTGGTTGTTATAATTTGAAATGATAATATCGGAGGCTTGATTTTAGGATTGATGTTTGAATTTGAACTTTGAAAAAAGAAAATTCATGATGTTATATATGAATATAAAAGTCTAGTGGATAATTATAGTCGAATGTAATAATGTGCGTTGGGCACGTCGCTATAGGATCGTGGTGGACTGGACAATGACAATTATTTGCTGTTCCTCTAATAGTATTTGCAGACGAATATGTGTTTTATTTTTTTTAAATAAATGAAGTGAAGTTAGAATATTCTAGAATTAATTAATGAGGATTAAGTCAGGTGGGGATTCCTAATTACTTGGAGGTGCACATGTTTTGAAGCTTCATAGGTTTTACCCACAAGCTCAGGCCAACCAAAGCAAGAAGCAAAAGGACGTACGTACGGTCGGTTTTGTAAAAGAGAGTCAATTTATTTGGGGTGTGTGCTGTCGTCTCTTGCATTGTATAGGGACCCAACGACATCGTCACGTTCCCACTCTCCAAACCCTATTTAACTCTGCCTCTCTCGTTTTAATTTGCCTTCGATTTAAAGTATGAGACATTTTTTAACTGTTAATATTGATATAAAATAGACAACACTCTGAAAAATGTCAATCGCCTTAAATTTTTATTTTTTTATAAATGTCCTTATTAATTGTATTGTAGAGATATATTATATAAAAAAAATTAAAAATAATTAAGATTGGTGGGATTTCATTGAAAGGCAATCTTGAAAAGTAAAAGTACTACATTTTTTAACTCTATTTTAATGATACAAACTATTTTAAATTAATTTTCTTAATTCTTGCGAAGTTAATATTTTGGATTCGAAGGAGCGCAAAACAAGTTTAACTAATTTTACATGGGAGTTAAAAGTTAGTTAACTAACCTGTTAATTTATAAAACAATTAAAATGTTTTTCATTAATATCTAAACCTATTAAATATTTTAAATTTTCAGATTTAATTATTGTACTTATTTTTATTTCTGCCGATGACCTTGTGGCCTAACGGCACACTGCCCGGCTTTGCTGGCACCAAATTTCAGTGAATGACAAAATAGCGAAATAGCGGGGATGTTAATACATCGTACATTATTCAAAAGTGACTTGCATTTTATTTCACAAAAATCTTTTAGAATTGTAATTTATTTTGAACAAGATGAAGTATTAATTCATTGAAACATCTACCATCAATCAATATATATATATATATATATATGTAAACTATTGAAAGTCACCATACTATTCACAAAGCTACAATGGAATTGTGGAAGTATAATTATTTTTGATTTA